TTCCACCTTCCAAGGATAGCAGCCTCACTGCCCGGGTCCCCTGCTGGCCCAGTGGCCTCCTCTAGAGGCGGGGCCCTGTGGACTTTGGAGCCACCTGGGTGGCAGAAGGGGGCCTGAGCAGACACCGTTTAGGGAGCAAAGGTCCTCCCAGGGGCCCTTTGGGCTGTCTCTTTATAGCCTGGGCCCCTGTGGCAGGCTGGGGAACTGGTGCCCCTGTAGCCCAGGCAGAGCCTTCTGGCAACGTGACTTCCCTGAAGGGCCCGGCAGTGCCTGGGGAGGGGACCTCTTGTGTGCCGAGCCCTGGTACCCCCCTGCCCCCACATGTCACTTTGTGGATTTGCTAGTGGCCTTTCGGACAGCAGGCTGGGGACGTGTTCCTACACTAAGGAGAGCTCTCTGGCTCCAGAGGACCCCTCGGCTTCAGGGCGGGGGTGGGGTAGGGATGTCATGTCAGCCTGGTCAGCAGTATAACCTGCCTGGCTGTGGTGAAAACGCTCACTGTTTGGCCACAAACAAGAATTTCCTGTTTGCCCACCATGCCCATCGGGAGGCTGGTTACCTCACTTTTTCTCCTGTCCCCACCTGAGCCCTGAGACCTCCTGGCTTTATTTTCTTCCTCTTCACCTTGCTGCCCAGTGTCCCCTCCTAGGAGGGGTTGTCCCTCAGTGGGTCCCCAGCACCTCTGCCCCCTCCCCCGCACAAACAGGCTGGGCCTGGAGTGTCAGGACCTGTGGGGCAAGTGAGCAAGTGCTTTGTGCAAAGTGCTCAGAAGGAAATGAGAGCAGACGAAGGGGTAGAGGGTGAGGAGGGGCTGCAGGGCAGGAAGGAGGGGCTGAGATCTGGGGAGCCACATTCTGGGAGGGGGAACAGCCAGTGCAAGGCCCTGAGGTGAGAGAGGGCGCTTGTTTTGCTCAAAAAGCAGCAACAGGCCTTAAGGGGCTGGAGTGGAGGGAGGTGAAGTGAGGTTTTTGGTGGGAGTTCTGGGAGCCATGGGAGACTGTACGGCAGGGGAGGGTGCTACTCAGACTTCGTGGAAAAGCCTCTCTGTTTGTTAAAGTGTACGTTGGGGTGGGAGGGTGGCTGGGCCTCACCCACTCTGAGCCTCAGGTTTTCCTTCCGGAAGTGACTGGTGCTAGGGAGTGGGAGATGGACACAGATGGTCAGCCCAGTCTTGGCAATTCATGGGCGGACTCCATCGCTGGGTCAAGTGCCGCAGTAGCCACTGCAGGCAGAGGGGCCAAGGCCGTGTGTGTCCCGGTGACCCCACCTGCGGGTGGAAGGGGAGAAGGGAGCTGTGTACTCAGGGAACACCTGTGGGGGCCTCCAATCCAGGTTCTTGCACCCGTATCTCCCAATGTTGAGCTTTTGCACCCTTGCACAACCGAATAGACTGAGGCCTGGGGAGAGCAGGATGGGCACAGCGTTGGGAGAGGCGGGCCACAGGGCAGGAAGTGAAGCCAGCGGGGGACAAAGCTCACCCAGCATGGCCCTGCTGCCTGCGTTTCTGAGTTTGGGAAAGCATGAGTATCCCTGACCTTATTGCATCATGAGAAATCCACATTCATTTAATGAATGTCGGCTGGGTCCCCAGTTCTAGACAATGGGGACAAAACATGAATGCCCTGTCATTCTGCTGGGGCAGATGGACAGGGAACCAGACCAGGATATGAATCCATGTGGATTGGGTCACATGAGGGTGAGGGAGGGAGAGAGTGGAGAGGAGCGAGGAAAAGCCATTGTCAGTAAACATGTTCCAAGTAAGAGCAGAGAGCTCGGGAGAGATGGGGCTGTGGCTGAGATATCAGAGGGTGGGGGCTTCTCTCAGGGAGGTTAGGGCCCTTCGTGGGGATGGCCTTTGAGCTGAGCTGGGAACCTGTGTGAAGGGGGAGCCAGCTGGGGCAGAGCTGGAAAAGGCATTCCACCTGGGGTGGAACTGCCAGGGCCAAGGCTGGGAGGGGGACTGTCTGATGGGTTGGAGAAGCCCCCAGTGGTCAGGGGAGAGTTGAGATGGCTTAGGGCCCGTCAAGGACTGTGGGACCTGGTGGGCTGCAGGGAGGGGTATCTTTGTAACCAGACAGGAGCCAGAGCGAGACTCATTCTCAGTGCCTGGCACTTGGCCCCAGGGAAATCAGGTCTCCAGGAGAAGAGAGGGGCCCTTATCTCAGCCCTCAGCCCCAAGGAGAGGTTTCTAGATGTTTGGCCCAGTTTCCAGCCCTGGGTTTGCAGCCCTGGGTATGTCTGTGGCTGATTTCAGTGCCTCCTTGTGCACCTTGAGAGGGGCGGGTTCCAACCAGAGAAGCCAGGCCAGACTAAGGGTGGGGTGTGGCCCATCCGTCTGACTCCAGAGCTTTATGAGGATAGGCAGCCCAGCCCACTGGCCCACAGGGAGGGTCTGGATACCCCCTCAAGTCTTGACACTGTTCCCAGCTCCCCCATTCCTAGGGCCTGGTGGACAGCCTCAGCCAGCTGGCCAGGGCGGGACACACGCCACAGGGGTGCGGAACTTGGGGCCAGAGCCCTATAAAGCTGGGGCAGCCTTTACTGCCTGCCTTTGTTGTCAGCTGCCCATGACACGGCTATTAAAGCTGCCTCTTTCACCACATACCCCCTTTATGGCCTCATGCTACGCCCCAGCCCCAGGAGGGTTTGCCCACCATTTGGCCTAGGGGCTAATCGCTCCCCCTGGCCCCACTGAGCCAGCTACCTCTGCTGAGGGGTCATGGAGCAGCTGGTCTCCACCCCAAACCCCAGTTTCCTGCCTTAAATATGGGGCTTGTTATGGTTCCAGGTGGTAAGGATGATGCTGTTGTGTTTATTGCACGGTGTCCTCAAAAGGGAGAGAAACTGAGGCAGAAGGAGCACTGAGGTCTTGGGGGGGGCAGGCCTGGAGAAGGGGTTTAGGCAGCGTGGACCCTCCTCTACCTGGATGAGGATATCAAAGGAGAACGTGCTGCCCCTGAATGAGTTTCCAGGCCATGACGAATGACTGCACGCTGAGCAGCTTAAAACAACAATTGAACTCACACTCTGGAGCCAGAAGTTTGAAATGAAGGTGTCACAGGGCTGTACTTCCTAGAGGCTCTGGGGAGGGTCCTTCTTGCTTCTTCTGGGGGCTCCCGTGTCCCCGGACTTGCGGCTGCATCACCCTTGTCTCCGCCTCTGTCTCTACACGGCTTCTCCTCTGTGTCTGTGTCCCTTCTCTTCCAGTAAGGACCCTGTCTGTGGATTAGGGACCGTACCACAGTGTGACCTCATCTAATGGCATCTACAAAGGCCCCCTTTTGAGGTTTCAGGTGGCTGTGACTTGTGGGGGAGCACCTGCCAATTCCCCAAGTCCGTCTGACCCCACTCTCTGCCTAGTCAGGTTCAGCTTGCAGCTGAGAAATCAGGGTTCACTCACCATTGGCCACACAACTGTGTGTGCTCAGCTACCTTTTAGACACTGACAATAAAATTAACAAAATCCCTGATGTCCTATGGGACAGACAAACGGGACCAGGGGTGTGTGAATCCTCACGTCCCAAGCAGGGAGGAGGAGAGTGGGGAGGGGACACACACGGGGGTGTCATGTGGGCGTGGAGTGGACAGACAAGGCCTGGTGTGAGTGCACCCATGGAAGGTCCGGCTGCAGGGCTCCTACCCTTCAGGCAGGGGAAAATACGGGCCTCCCTGGATGCCATAAATCAGCGCAGGAATGTGGCTGGCCGGCCTGGCCGGGGCGGAGGAGACAAAGGCCTCGACCACCCACATCTGGGCTCCTGTCCCTCCCAGCCCTTGGCCTAGAGGCCCCACTTTGCTCCATTATGCAGGTGGGGAAACTGAGGCCCAGAGAGGAGCAACATGGCTAAGGAGTGGTTGGCCTGACAGTCTTATCTCCCTAGGCCCCGGATGTCCCAGCTACAGGAGCCGGGTACTGGGACATTCTCGAGCCCCAGTGATTGATTATCCCAGCCCAGCTGGGACCAACTGGTGGTTTCAAGGCCCCCCACGGTCCTGAATCCCTCTGTGTCCAGGCGGCATGATGCTGTATTCCCTGAAGCTTAATTTGAAGCCTGCTATTTGCTGTTCGTGCTGTTCTTCCTCAGCCAATGTGAGATTGCACACCCCCAACCTCACTCTCTAATGATCTCTGCTGGCTTCCCCCCACCCCAGCACCTGGGAGGTAATAGTCAGTGAGGTCAGTGGACCCCGTGCCTCCCAAACCCCAGACAGAGGCCCTGCCCACCTTTGATGACTGGTGAACCCAGGCAGCCAGTGCCCAGGACTGAGTCTGGGCCAAGAGGGCCCAGCAGTCCAGGACGTCAGTCTCCCACCTGTCTCTCTGTGCCCATGTGTGTGTGACTCACCGGACAGGGTCGGGATGCATCGTCATGACAATGGCCCGGATGGGTGCTGCGTATCTGGGATGCACTGTGTGCCAGAATGATGTGTTGAAACTCAACTCCCAGTCCCCATGAGACCTTTTTTGGAAATTGGGTCTTTGCAGATGTTTCTAATAAAGCATTGAGATGAGTTGAGGTGGCTGTAAATCCAGTGACAGGTGCCCTACAAGAAGAGGGGAATTTAGACACACAGGAGAGCCACGTGACAACAGGGGCAGAGACTGGGGTGATGTGGCCCCAAGCCCAGGGACTCCTGGAGCAGTCAGAAGCTGAGGAGGCGGGAAGGGCCCTCCTTGGAGTCTCAGGAGGGGGCTCGGCCCTGCTGCACCTGATCTCTCTCTGATTTCCGGCCCCAGAACCGCAGGAGGATAAACCTCTGTTGTTTTCAGCCACCCTGGGGGACGCATCCAAATACCTCTGTCCTCACCTGAAGGTGAGGGGCAGACTCATCATCTGCTTAGTGGGGCTTCAAGAGATGCTCGGACTTGGGAGGTGCTAGGGCTGGGCCCCCCAGCGCCTGTTCCTTCCAGCAGCCCCAGGTTGGTTCTTGTGATGGACACGTGGCACCCACATCCAAGCTCTGGCATCAATTAACTGGTCCCTTCCCTGCCTTCACAGCTCTACGAACTGGATGGGGACCCCAAGAGGAAGGAGTTCCTGGATGACTTATTCAGCTTCATGCAAAAGCGAGGTGAGGCCTGCCCTCTGGGAAGTGATGGGAAATGGGCACAAGAAAGGGGGGAATCCCATCAGCCACAGCCTGGGACAGGTGTATCAGAGTGGCACTGAGTTTCCCGTGGCTGGAGGCATCCAACAGGTGTCGGGGAGGAGGCATGGCCATGCCATGTGGGTTTCTGAGAGGGGAGGCACAGCTGTGAGAGTCTAAGGGGTGAGTCCGTGCAGGTGGGGGAGGTCGTCTCAGGGCACCACCCAGAACTGACAGTCCAAGCTTTCCCCCTTGCTGCTGAGACACAGGGCCTGACCCACGGACAGCTGGGCTGGATTCAGATAGACTGGTGGGCGCTGGAGCAACAGGGCAAAAGCTCCCCACGCAGGCTTCCAGCTCTGGTGGCCTAGAGTGCCCCCTGGTGCCCAAGCCCCTCCCCTGCTCCTGCAGGGGCCGTGGTCCTCCTATCTGCAAGGTGGGCCACAAGCAGCCCCTCTGTTGGCAGTGCCCTGGACACACTGAGTGCCGTGCTGTGTTTCTTGAGCGGCAGCAGGATGCGGCAGTGTACTGTGCCCTCGTTTCTCCCTGGTCTGCAGTGAGGCAGATGCCAACCATGGCCCCACCAGGAAGTTTGTGGGTCTTGAGAACAGGGACATGAAGAGCAGGGGTGGATCTGGGTGAGTGTTGGGATGGGAAACTGAGGCCCAAACACTGGAGGATGTTAGGGGCGTCTGGAGTGAGCCAGGCTCAGAGAGAACAAGAGGCAGTGGGGGGGTCCTGAGAGGTCCCCTGTCTGGGCCTCCCCCTTAGCTCAGGGCAAAGATACCAGGGCTGTCCCAGGAATGCCCACTGTAGGGCGGGGTTCATTCCTCGGACCCTGGGCCGCAGCCCTCGGTGGTTGTTATCGTCCTGCTGTTCAGAGAAGGAAACTGAGGCCCCGAGAGGGCACATGGCCTTTGAGCTAGAGAGGCAGGAAGGGGTGGGGCCAGCAGGGGACTGCAGGGTCCACTGGGGCCATTGCAGGGGCCAGGCCCCTGCTGCTTTGTCCTGGGCCTCTGCCTGCCCCTCCCTCACCAGTAGCTTCTGTAAACACAGGCCTAGCCAGGCCCAGTCAGGCCCAGAAGGGAAGGAGATGAAAGGGGAGGGGGCTGCAGCCTCTGAGTTAACTCCTCCTGTGCCGGGACAGAAGAATTCATATCCAGTCCTGGGGTAGGGGCCCCTCTCATGTTATCGTGTTATCCATCCAGCCCAGCCCCAGCCAGAGCTGCTGTCCCCCGTGTGGTCAGAGAGATCCCCCCTTGCTCTCTTTATCAGCCTGTCCACACTTGCCTAAGCCCCCCCTCCTACCCCCCTGCCATGAGGCTCAGAGCTTCCAGGCCTGGAGCCCACCCATGTTACCCAAGAAAAGCCACCTGGTGTCCTACAGGTACTTTAGGAAGTACTGTGAGCCGCACCTGGGTGGGGGTGAGGCTGGGGCCCCCAGACACATAGTCCATGCCCTTGCCAAAAAGCTCTGTGAGAGTTGTGTCCAGCCCTGCCTTCCTCACCAAGACAGTGCTCCCGAAGGGCAGGAGGCAACAGACTCCTATGCAGTCCTCAAAACCCAGCTCTAAGACCCTCTCTTCCCTGCCATCTTCCTAGGCACTCCGCTCTGTAATGGGGGGCCTTTGGGGCTGAGAATCTGTCAGACCCACTTCACCGTGGACACCATGCCCTGCATCTCACAAGCGTCTTCCCCTTCGCTCCAGACAAAGGGTCACAAAATAAAAGCCTCCAACTGAATTCTCCCGGTGCCTGCACCCCACCCGCCTGCTATTTCCTTGACAACCTCTCCACCCTTCTTATCGCCCCCACAGCCCTCACTGCCCACCATCAATGCCTCCCTGTGCTCTCCCAGCCCCCATCCTTCTATAAACATCCGTCCAGGCCCCGCCTGCCACAGAGCCAGGAGGATCTGATTCCGTAATTCTTCCCCCTGCCCAGGCAGGGCCTAAATCCAAGTCCAGGCAGGACGGCGCTGTGGCCACATATCTGGGCTGTGTGTGCTGACCCTGGTGTTGCTTTTTCTCCCTTTCTCTTGGACTGAAAATAGAATCGGGGCTGGGGGGAAGACTGAGGTCCATCTTCCTGCCCTTGCTCCTGGTGGTTCTCCATTCACTGGGGGGTTTGCGATGTGGGAAGGGCTGGAACGCAGTCACAGGTGGTGGGAGGTGGCTCTGGAATGTCCAGAGGTGAAGAGCATCTTCCAGGCCCCAGGGCAGGCAAGCTGACCCCTCCCTCGGACCTTCCTCCATCAGGGCACATCCTACAGCCTCCCTTTGCCCAGCTCCAAATGGGGGTAAGCATGGCCCTTGGGCTCAGATGCAGTCCGTCAGCCTTCACTCTTTATTGAACGCTTGCCATGTTCCAGGCTGCGCACCGTGGACTCCACGTGCGCAGAACAGGGCAAGGGGGTGCACAGAAAGAAAACCTGGGATTCACTGTTGAGGAGAGAAGGGGGCCCTCTCCATCCTCAACCAGGGAGGTACCAGACAGGCCAGGCTGAGATCTGAAGGCTCCTAGGCCGGGGGCCTCTGTGTGGAGGGCTAGGTAGGCAGAAGAGGGCATCAGGTCTGTGTGCAGGGGTCAGTCCTCCCCTCGTTGAACTAGCCCACTTCCCTTTCCCCCGGGGCTGGCTCTGCACCAATGGCCCTGTTTTCCTGAGCTAACCCCCTGCCCTCCCCTCCCTGGCCTAGACCACTGCCCTACTCTCAAGCTGCAAAGTGGGTTAACCAAGCCGTCTCTCCCTGACTACAGCTCCCCCCGCAACACACACACTGCAGCCCCATTCCCACATTACAGACCTTTCCAGACGGGGAGGAAGCAGGCCTCTGGGAACGCAGGCGGAGTTGTTTTGCCAGCTGTTGTGGTTGGTGATTGGAGTAGGACTAGCAAGGGCTGCATTTCCCATGCCCATCCCCCAGGTGGGCCCCCAACATCTCCCTGTCTGTACCCACTCCTCCCCTCCAGTGAGCTCAGAAATGAGCCAGGTCCCCGATAAAGAAGCTGAGGCAGAGCTGTTTGTTACCTCCGTGCTGTCTGGGGCAGGGGAGGGGGTGTCTCACCTGAGGCAATCCCGTCCCGGGGAAACACTGGGCAATGTCAGGGACATCTGTGGTTGTCACAGCTGGGGTGCTTCTGACATCGAGTGGGTGGACGCCGGGAATGCCGTTCAACACCCTACTGTGCCCAGGATGCCCCCACAGAGGGTGACCTGCCCTGATGTCCGCACAGCGGGGGGGACCCTGCTCCGACCTGGTGTGTTAACTGCAGACTTGGCATCTGCTGCATGCAGGGCTCTGGCCCTGCTAACAGTGCCCCCTCCCCCACAGGGACACCTGTGAACCGGATCCCCATCATGGCCAAGCAGGTGCTTGACTTGTTTATGCTGTACGTGCTGGTGACGGAGAAGGGTGGCCTGGTGGAGGTCATCAATAAGAAGCTGTGGCGTGAGATCACCAAGGGCCTCAACCTGCCCACATCCATTACCAGTGCCGCCTTCACCCTGCGGACCCAGTGAGTGCTGCATGTGCAGAGGGCTCCCAAGCCCTCTGTCCAAGCAGGAAGGGACAGGAAGGACCTCGGAGGCACTGGGCTGTGGGAGGGGTCTGAGTCATGAGAGCCTCAGGGTGGGGTTTATGGAAGGTTCTGGCTCTGAGGTTACTGGAATTGAGCATTAAAGAATTGGTGTGAGGTAGTCATGGGGACAAACATTGAGACAGGGAAGAGCATAAGCAAAATTATGGCTCTGAGCATTGCTGAGTGATTCCCTGGTGGTCATGTATGATGAAGGTGGGGGAGGTAATGCCACAGTGGAGTTTGCTTTATGCCATGGGCAGCAGAGAGCCACGGGAAGTGTCCCAAGTGCCATCCTGTCTCCTCACCCCTGCCTACAGGTACATGAAGTACCTGTACCCCTATGAGTGTGAGAAACGTGGGCTCAGCAACCCCAATGAGCTCCAGGCGGCCATTGACAGCAACCGGCGGGAGGGCCGGCGCCAGAGCTTCGGGAGCTCCCTCTTCGCCTACTCACCAGGAGGTGCCCATAGCATGCTCTCCTCGCCCAAACTGCCTGTGTCCTCCCTGGGCCTGGCCACCAGCACCAACGGCAGCTCCATCACCCCCGCCCCCAAGATCAAGAAAGGTAAGGGGCGGACTGATCCCAGCTCAAGCTGTCTGGCCTTGTAGGGCGGGTACCTTTTCCCTCACTGAGTAAACAAGTTCATAAACCCCAAAGTTGTCCTGGATGAGGGCAGTGAATCTGGTAGTGCTGTGCTCACGGCAGACGTCACTGATCAATCCCCATTTTTCTAACCCCATGCCCACAGCAGGTAGACATTCCTAGTCAATCCATTTTTCCTACTCCTGAGCTCATGGTAGGCACCACTAATTGATAGTTTTTATTCTTCATTCCAAGCCAAGGTAGACATTACAAATCAAGCACAATTTTCCCATCCTGAGCCTATGGCAGACATAATTAATCGCTGTTTTTCCAGTTCGTTGAGCCCTGTACTAATCCTGTGGCATGCATTGCCAATCACTTATTGTAGCATTGGCCCAGTCTTCTGTCTGTGGCTGACACTCTTCATCACTGTATTTTTTTCCCAGTACCTTGCCCATGACAGACATTACTAGTTGACCCCTGTTTTCTTTTCCCTTTGAGCTTTAGAGTCTTTCTCAACACTATCTGAGCAGACACCACTGAAAGTGTAGTATGGGTCTATCAGACCGATCCATCAGCCATCCCCGAAGCAATTGCCAGGTGTCCCTGAGTGGCTCGGTGCGCCTTCCTGAGCCTGATTCCCTTATGAGTAAAGTGGAGACAATTACCCACTATTTGTCGAGTTGTAGGGAGCCTTCAGTGTAAAAAATGCCCAGCGTGCAACAGGCCCAGTTTGCAGATACCTGACAGGCAGCCCCCATGCCCAGCCTCCACCATGGCCGCCATCACCAGGCGATCACAGTTCTCTCCCACTGAGCCTCAAACCCTTCCTGGTACAGAGCACTGACAGCGCATGTGGCAGCGTGGCCTCGAGCAGGCTGGTGTGCCTGTGTGAGTTCACATTTCTCTGCCATACTGGCTGTGACTTCTGCTTCCGGGGAGTGGCCCAAGGATCTGAGGTGATCCCCACAAGGCTCTGCAAAGTTAGGTCTTGTTAATATTAGCTCATTCACTCTTCTGTGGGCCTCAGTTTATCCTCCCAGCTTTGGGGAGTACCAAAGATACCAGTTAGTGGTTATGAAGTATCCACATGGGCCAGGTCTCATGCTGGCGCTGAGGAAGACGGTGGCATGTCAGATCAAGAGGTCTGATCTGGGGGAGCCATGGGAGAGCCTGGAAGCAGCGGGCAGCAGTGATGGGAAAGCTGGCTGAGACGTTGCGTGAGCAAGGAGAGGGCACTACGGAGACTCTAGGGCAGAGCGCCCAGCCATGGCAAAGGCTGGGATGGGGGCCCGGCATGTAGGGGCAGCACCTGGTGAGCAGGGGTTGACGTGGGAGAAAGAATCAGGGGAAGAAGAGAGAGTGGGTCCCAGTGAAAGAAGTGAGTGGGAATGACAAGGACATTTGTTTCAATGACAGAAGAGGGGAATGATTAGGAACTGGTTCTGGAATTGGACTGCCTGGTTAGAATCCCAGCTCAGCCTCTCTCCTCTCTGTGGCCTTGGGGAAGTTATACATCCTCTCTGTGCCTCAGTTTCCTCATCTGGAGATAAGAGTAGGCTTGGATTGTTGAAATGGCCCTTCAAGATGGTTCACGTTAAGTGCTTTAGACATGTTCTGAGTCCTTATTGTGACTAGTATTACATGTAATATATGCTGTTATAGTGTCTATGTAGTACTGATACTGAATACTACTATAATACTAGTGTATAACTAGTATTGTTATCACCAGTATCACCAGTATGATGATGTCTACTTTAGAAAGGGTTTTATAGTACTTGTGCCTATTCAGAAACCTAGCTACTTCCCTGGTTAGAGAGTGAGCATCCTGTCAGTAGTGGTATTCAAGAGGGTGCACATTCCTGCATGGGTGAAAGGCTGGGCCAGGCCACCCCACTTCCCTTCTGGCCACCAACTCCTCTTCTCTCCTGTCTAGAGGAGGATTCAGCCATCCCCATCACGGTCCCTGGCCGCCTGCCAGTCTCCCTGGCAGGCCACCCCGTGGTGGCAGCCCAGGCAGTAGCAGTGCAAGCAGCAGCAGCCCAGGCAGCTGTGGCAGCACAGGCAGCCGCCCTGGAGCAACTTCGGGAGAAACTGGAGTCTGGGGAGCCTCCAGAAAAGAAGATGGCACTGGTGGCAGATGAGCAGCAACGGCTCATGCAGCGAGCGCTACAGCAGAACTTCCTGGCCATGACAGCCCAACTGCCCATGAGCATTCGTATCAACAGCCAAGGTATCAGCCCAGCCCCCAGACTCTCCATGCTTCCTGGCATGTGTAACAAAATAAGGGTCTTGGAGCCAGCATATGTAAAGAGTGCCTATAAATCAACAAGAAAAAAAAAGGCAAGCAACTCAATAGAAAAAATGGGCAGTTGTGACTAGTAAATTCCTATGAGAAGCAGTTCAACTCCATCTACCCGGAGACTTGCACATTAACATGGAGACACCATTTTTCACCCATCAGAGTTCTGTAATATCCAGTGTTAGTCAGGATATGGAGAAATGGGCCCTGCTGGTGGGAGTGTAAATAGTGGCGATTTGGCAGTCCCTTTTAAAAATGAAAATGTGACCCAGCAATCCAGTTGGTATCTACAGCAGACCTAGTGCAGGTGCCCAAGGTAACACAGGTGTCTCCCACTATCCGAAAGTAGGGCATTCCTGTGAAGCCTTTCAAAGTGGTACAGTGCGAATTTTCAAAAAGCGGGGGATACCTGTATAGACAAGATTGTTCACTGCAGTCATTTGCATGATGTCGTAACAGTGAGGCCTTGAAGCTATGTGTGTGTCCACCAGTGAGGAATGAATGAGTCACATCTGGAAGACTGTGGCTGTTAGAAAGAACGATATGATTTAGATGTGCAGTATTGCTTAAGACTTACAGTCATGGCCCTGGCTGGGTAGCCCAGTCAGTTGGAGTGTTGTCCTGTATACCAAAGGGTTTTGGGTTTGATTCCTGGTCAGGGCACATATCTAGGTTGAGGGTTCAAATCCCCATTGGGGTACATATGGGAGACTCCCTCACATCGATGTTTCTTTCTCTTTCCCTCTCTTCCCTCTCTCTCTAAAATCAGTAAACATATTTTCAGGGGAGGATTTTTTATAGATATTATTAATTTTTCTATAGCTAGGGGAAGGGAGGGAGAAAGAGAAGGAAAGAAACATCATTGTGTGGTTGCCTTTTGGGCACCCCCTACTGGGGACCTGGCCCACAACCCAGGCATGTGCCTTGACTGGAAATCGAACTGGCAACCCTTTGCTTCTCAGTCTGATGCTCAGTCCACTGAGTCACACCAGCCAGGGCAAGGGAGGATTTTTTTTAATTAATTAATTTTTAAAAAGACAGTCATGATGAAAGCAAATGTCAGACAAATATGTTCTTATTTGATATTTACTGAGTGTCCTGGGTTTGCTGGAGGCAAATACAGTCAGTCCACAGCTTCGTGAGGTCTAAAGTCTGGTGGGCATGACGGACATGAAGCACATCATCGCACAGATGCATCTGTTTCCAAACGGTGGCCTTTTTTCTTTCCACAGCCTCTGAGAGCCGCCAGGATTCAGCTGCAAACTTGACCAGCACCAATGGCAGCAATAGCATAAGCATGTCAGTGGAAATTAACGGGATTATGTACACAGGTAACACCTTGGCTGCTTCCTTCTCCAGGTTAACTTGGGGGTCCTGGGTAGCCCCAGGTTTGGCTGGTGTGAGCCCAGCCATCAGAGCGAGTGAAGTCCTTTCTCCCCTGGGAGATTCGAGTATAGAATCTATGTGGTGTACTTAATGCAGTGCTCAGCACATAGTAGGCAGTTGGCGTGGTGCTGTATGTGGAAAGTACTTGTCCCAGTGCTCAGCACGTAGTGAGTGCTCAGAATACAGCCGACCCTTGAGCAACAACGGTTGGGACTGCGTGGGCCCATTTACATGTACATTTTTTTCAATAAGTACTGCAAATGTATTTCCCTGGTGATTTTCTTTTCTTTCTTTTTTTTTTTTTTAAGATTTTATTTATTTATCTTTAGAGGGGAAGGGAAGGAGAGGGGGAGAGAAATATCAATGTGTGGTTGCCTCTCCTGCATCCCCTGCTGGGAACTGGCCTGCAACCCAGGCATGTGCCCTGACTGGGAATCGAACCACAGTTGTTTGGTTCGCAGGCCTGTGCTCAATGCACTGAGCTACACCAGCCAGGACCCCTGATGACTTTTTTAATAACATTTTCTTTTCTGTGGCTCACTTTACTGTAAGAATTCAGTATATAATACATATTACATACAAAATATGTGTTCATCCACTGTTTATGTTATCGATAAGGCTGCCAGTCAACAGTAGGCTATTAGTGGTTAAGTTTTGGGGAGTCAGAAGTTATATTTGGATTTTCAGCTGTGTCAGGATCACTACCTCTAACACCTGTGTTCAAAAGTAAACTGTACAAGTGATGTTTCAGTTCCTTGTAAAAAAAAAAATGTACTCGCGCCATTTGCTCATTAGACCACCAGGTGGCGCTGGGGACAAAGAACAGCTGGGTTGTTGGGCAAAGATTCCCCTGGGAAGCAGAAACTGAGATGAGGAGGTGGGTGTCCTAGCGGATCCCTGGGAGGACTTTTCAGGAGATCAGTGCTCATGGAGCCCCTTATACCTGTCATATAATTTTTTAAACACTGTCCATAACATGTCTCTCTCCCTGTCCTTTCATTAGGAGTGCTGTTTGCTCAGCCACCAGCCCCCACACCACCCTCAGCTCCCAGCAAAAGCAGTGGTGGCAGCAGCCGCGGAGGAAACAGTGGGACCAGCAGCAGTGTGGGCAGCCAGGCTGGGCCAGCGGGGTTACCCACACCCCCCACGTCTTCTACCTCAAATAATTCATTGCCTTAACCGCACCACTCCCCACCCGATGCCCCCACCCTGGGAGCCGGTCACACTGGGCAGGGGCCAAAAGGTGGGCCAAGCAGGGCCGGGGTGGTGGGAGATACGGGTGGGGAGGGGAGATATCCACAAAGGAGCCACAGCTAACGCCAAAAATAGAAGAAAAAATATATATATACATATATATAAAGAAAATTTAATAAAACAGGGGAAAACCAAGGAACACTTGAATTACTCAGGTTTCAGACATTCAGAGAAATGAATTGTGAGACGAGCAAAGGAAAGTAGGAAAGGAAGTTCCCAGGGCTCACCTGCAGCGTGGTGGACCGACTTGGACTGGTCTCTGGTTTGGACCAGGTCCTGTTTACCTCATACATCCCTGCACTGTGTGTTTTCATTTTTGTCTGGTTGTTTTCCTTTTTTTTTTTTTCCTGTTCATCACACACTCACTCTCCACACCCAGCTCCTTGTTTTGAATGAAACCCCTGAGCCAAGATCAGTTAAATTTTTTTCTTGTTGTTTTGGGGAACTTTTTTTTTTTTTTAAAGAAATAGTGATATTCAAGCTTTATAGGGTTTTTAAGAGGTTTGGGGGGTTTTGTTTTGTAAATATTCTATTTTATTCTTGGGGGAGGAATCAAACCTTAGGAAAAGGATATATATCTCTATATATTTGTGTTCATTCAGGGAAACTGGACTTAAAAGAAGCAAAAAAAAAAAAAGTAATATCCTTTTGATTTTTCCCATGACTGATTTGGGTTCCCGTGTCATTTCCTGTGGTGCAGTAGGCAGCTGGGGAGTGCAGGACACTGCGCCCTGGGCTAGAGCCAGAAAAGGCAATGAACTCAGGTGCTGAGCACCGGGCTGGGGCTGGGGGTGCCGTGGGGAGCACTCGGATGCTGAATGGCAAACCAAGACTCTAGATGCTTTCTCTCACTGTGCCACACTGTGCTCCCAGTCAGGGACCTGGAAGTCAACTAGAAAGGAGATAGTGCTGGAAAATGGGCCAGGGCCTTGGGGAGGGTGTGTCTGTCATAGCTCCCAGGCTCCTGTCTCAGGGATGAATATGGCCTGGGGACACTCTCTTGCCTGAAAGGGCTGCTTTTGAAGACCTATCTATATTGATATTTGGAGACTGGTGTGAGCCAGGCTTAGCTCAGGGTGAGGTTTTTGGGGCCTTGTCATCCTGAACATCCCACCCCTTCTCATCTTCTTCACTTAGTCCCTTTGTTTTCTCTTGGCCCCTTGTAAGGCCACATTCCCACTGCAATTAAAGGAACTAAATAGAGGCCCATGAGGAGGCTGCACTCACTCCATGACCCCTTCCCCCAGGTTAGAAAGTGGGCATCGGAGACAGTTGGGCTGAGGAATTTATTTCAGTGGCTGGTGATGGTCTTTTCTACAAGGTAGCACCTTCTGTCCCAAGGCCCAGGTGGGGTGTGGGGACTTGCTTAGCCACCCAAACCCTTGCTGGGTCCCTGGGAACCAGGGACTGTTCCTCCTACACCTTAGCACGCTTTCCCTTCATGCACTGAGTTTGCTCTAATTGGGCCCAGGGAGCCTGACTTAATGAGGCCAAAAAGGGAAGCGCCCCGCCTGGCAGCCTCCCAGATCCCCAGATCCCAGACCCAGTGATCCATGACCTGGCGCCATCTTATTGCCTTGGAGACCTTGCAGAGGGGAGCATCCAGGTCCCATCCTCGCCCCATGTCTGGGTTTGCTTGGGTATGGTGCTATGGTGTCTTTGGGGAGAACCCCTTTCTTTGGTATATCTCAGGGTTGTTGACACCACCCACCTTCCAAAATGGGGTGGCAGTGGGCATCTGGGGTTTCCTCTCTGTTTTTCCTTCTGGAAGGTTCTCCTCCCCAATTCTCACTGTAGCAGCACAACCCCTGTGGGAGGAGGATCTTCTTGTCCCCAGAGCTGTGGACCGGATGTTCCTTCTCCCTTCTTCCACTACCAGGCCCTCCCGGAGCCACAGCCTTCTGGTGGGTGGGGCCCACATGGGGGTGTCTGCTGCCTGGTTATTTCTACCTCAGGTCTGACTCTTGATGCCAAAGCCCCTCCTCAGCCTGACCCCTTTATCTGGCTCAGAGTTTTAACAAGTACCAATACCCAATACCTGTCCCTCCTACCCATGTTGTGGGCGCCTCCAACTGAGAGCCTACCTGGGTGCTCTCTTTGGTCCTGTGTGTGTGTGTCTCACATCTCTGTGTGTTGGGGGACCCGGGTGTCATGTCCTGTAGGCGATGTGGCCCACGGATCTAACTCAGGGCATGCTTGCTGCTCAGGCAGGGGTCGGGGATTGTAGGGGTCGGGGAGACAGCGCCATGGGCCGGGGGAAGGGATGGAAAGGCGCGGAGGAGCTCCAGGTTGGGATGGAGTTGCAGCCTCTGCCTCGAGTGAGTCCCCATTTACCCTCTGCCACTCCCAGCTCAGGGCAACCCCTGTTGGTGGGCGTTCTAGGGTGCAGCTCAGCACCCCATTATGCAAACTGGGGTGGGGACGGGGCAGCCGTCTCTCTCAGCAGCTTGCCTGTGAACTGTTCATTCTGGAATGGGTGGGGCTTAGCTGCCTGGTGCAGGCAGGGACCCCCAAGCTCAAGCTCAAGAGGGGCTCAGGGGCTTCCCCTGCTCTAGAGATGTTTGTGACAGCTGCTTCTAGAATCTTCCTTGTGACCCCTAAACTGGCTGCAGCACTGTCCACTGTTGTGCAAGGGGCAGAGCAGAGGTGTTGGGGCAGCTGAGCTAGTTTTTAATAGTTGTGCATTTGTACAGTCACTTTTTTTGCTTTTGTCATTTTTGCCCACTTCTATCATTTTTTTCTTCCCCTTAATTTTACTTTTTTACTTTTGCTTTTTTTTTTTTTTTTGCGAACACGAATGAATTCAGCCTTTCATTCCTGACATGTGAAATTTCAGTTTCTCTGGGGTTTGTCTGATGGCGCGGGGACCGTGCCCAAACTCAGGTTAAAGGAAAAAAACTTAAAAAAGGTATAAACTACTCTACCTCTGGCCGGGCCTGGCCTGTCACCCCGGCTGGTGGGGCAGCCGGTAAGGATTTCAGTTTTGCAGAACATTCAGGTATTAAGGGGAGGGGGGGAGGGGGGGGCAAAAGACCAAAAAAAGGGAGGGAGGCGTGATTTTGAAATTTAAAAGAACACTGAAAGTTTACATTTTATAACATTATTATGCAGATTGTATTTAAATTTCAGAAATATTTAAGACAATTGTAACCCTGTAAAGCTGATGATATTAAAACAAGACAAAACACTTCTGACTTTTAACAGAAAAGGTCTCAGTGTTGCTTTCCTGGGCGTCGCCTCACCCTGTCTGGGTCCAGGGGGCAGAAGGCACAAGGGCTAATTCAGGGTCCTCTAGTGGGGACTGTGCCCCCGGGGGATACCGGGCGATGTCTGGGGACATCTGTGGTTGTCACAACTGGGGGTGCTCTTTTCACCACGCGGGTGGGGGTGAGGATGCTGCTCAGCACCCCACAGTGCCCAGGACGGCCCCACTCCAGAGTGACCTGGCCTCAGTATCCGCGGTTTGAGAGGGAGACCCTGACTCAGCCAGCTCTGAGAGGTGGCTCCCTCCCGCTGAGTGTCCCCCAGCCCCCTAGCTTAGACCTCCTGCTCTCCTGGGTTCTGATGCCCGTGTCACTCCTGAGTTGTCTGACTCAAGCCCCCAGGGCATGTCATCGGGCCCCTACCCCCTCCTTGCTGACGTCATTTTAGTTCCCTAAGGAGACCGCCCTGGGCATGCCTCTGCTCACCCTGCCCCCCAAGCCTTCCCCTGTGGTTTGGTTCACATTTCAACACTTTGTCTTTCAGTATAATGTAACCCCAAAGAAACCAGACCAAGGGGTGATTGGTCCCTTGGGCTACAGCTGCAACCCCGGGACTCAGCCCAGATCAAGGGAAACCCTGGTTTTCAGCCCTGAAAACCCAAACCTGACAAGCAGCAGGCAGCATGCAAGGTGTTGCTTGGAAGAGATTTCCTGGGGTGTCCCTCACATCACCCACACCCAGGGGATGTGACAGGCTCAAGGTCAGGATGGCTGGATAGTGGATAGGCCCCGCCTCCTGCCACCTGGCTCGCCTGCACTAGCTCCTGCCTCTGGCTGGCCTGGGCCTGTCCCTCCTGCCTGGGTCAGCCCCGAAGGCTGGGCAGGAATCAAGAAAAACAACCCCCTCCTGTGGTGGCCAGTTGGTTCCCAGAAGCCTCCCCTGGCCCATTTCATCTGGCATTTTACATCTGTACCACAGGTGGGTGGCTACGTCTCCGTGGACCTGGGGAACCTGGAGTGGACAGGGCAACCCACCTGCCTCTCTAAGCCCCCTGCCTAAAGGGAAAGTTTCAGGGGGTTTTTAAGGCCCTTTCTTTTGCCAACTGGATGGGCCAGTCTGGCATCTTTATTCCTCTGCTAGACACCTGAAGAAGGATTAGGGTCCCCGAGGTCACACGGCCCCTGGAGACACACAGAAGGGTCAGACCGCAGCACCCCTCCCCACCTCCTCAAGCCAGGGCACCTCCTGGCTCCAGCTCTGCTTATTAGGAGGCAGGGAAACTCCCAGGAGGTGAAACTCAAAACTAGGCCTGATTAGCGGAGCTAATCAGGAGAGGCAAACCAAGGAGGTGGTGGGGCGGGCAGGGGGTGGGGGGGCAGGTTGAAAGGATGCCTGAGAAAGATGGTTGCCCCTGGACTCAGGGAGTCCCCCGTTATCCTTATACCATTAGTGCACACCATGGGGGTTGCCGGGTTTGTTCAAGCACCCCCTACTCCCTGGGGTGGACAGGGAGTAAGGTGCCTGGGCTCCCAGACAGGAGGGTTGGGTTTGGTTCATCTGTGTACCAGTGCCTGCAAACAGGAGGTGCTCAGTAAACGTGTAGGAATAGAATGCAAGAATCCTGGGTTTAGACCTATAGGGATTATGCAGGCCTCCGTACTCCAGTTTCCCCAAGCCTAGTTGCTGCTCTCACCCCAGGGCCACCAAGGCCTCCCAGCCTTGGGTTCAAGAGGCAGCGCCTGTCTGGCACCAAGGAGGTCTGGTGACTGGGTGGTCTGGAGGCCCCCAAAGTGTGGCTTTTGTCCTGCTCTTCTGACACAACTGGTCTGTCCTCATTCCGGGAACTGGGCTGGGGGTGGGGTGACCTCTGACCTGACAGCAGCCTGGCCTACTGGGTCCCCAGGGAAGGGAGGAGGGGAAGAAGGGAGGGAGAGGCCTGTGAGGGGGCCTGATTGCAATCCAGCAGCCCTGCCCTGAGGCCCTGCCTGGGCCTGCCCCTGCCTGAACATCCACCATCAGAGCCCCTTATCCTTCTTGGCACAATTGGTCCCCTGCAAACCACACCTGCTGGGCCCACCCCTGTGTCCGGAATTTAGAAACTTCTAGGCCAGACTTCCCAGGATAAGGATACAGACCCCATAGCTCTGAGAAACCCCCACTTTGTACATGAGGAAACAGGCCCAGAGCTGTGTGATGACTTGCCCCAGGGCTCAGAAGTGCCAGTTTCAAGTCCTGACTTGGTGTTAGGAATGGTCACTTTGGCCCCCACCCCCACCCCCGGTTCTGCAGAGGGCCAGGCTTCAGATATCAAAGAAAGACTCGTTTTGGGAAAAGCCTAAAAGATTTCGTTGAGCCCTGGCCTGCTAGCTCAGTTGGTTAGAGCATTATCACAATACACCAAGGTTGTCAGGTCAATCCCTGGTTAGGGCACATACAAGAAGCCACTGATGAACGAATAAGTGAAACAACAAATCAACGTTTTGCTCTCCCCCCCACCTCAAAAAAAAATGTCTGTTTTGGTGTTTCAAAAGTGTAAATTAGCATTCAGGATGTCCCATTTCAATTATTCACACTACAAACATTGGAGGAACCTGGGGGCATCATCTGGTTCCGGTGGTGGAAATCAGAAACATCTGGTACTAGTTGCAATGTGTTTTGGGCTAGGTGGTTCCTGCCTCAGTTTCCAGATTCAGTAGGTGCTGGGGGTTAGGATCTAGTTCTCAACTTATAAGTCTTTCCTCCCCCAGGATAAAATTAAATCCAGGCTCCCCACTGCCCACAAGTCCCTGAATGGCCCAGTGCCCCTCTAGGGTCTAGCCTTAGGGCCTTGGCACTACTTCTGCCTGTCTTTCTCTCCAAGTTGTTAGTACCCTGTTCGAAGAATACCTCTTCCAGCAAGCCCCTACTCCAGACCCTCCATCCCAGTAACCGTTTCGCACTGTGACCCCCGGGCTGCGAGCGGCCCCAGGGCTAGGAGCGGCCCCACCCTCCGCCTTCCAGTCCGTGGCTCATGACTGCCACCTGGCCGCCGAGGCTGGGGCTGCAAATCCTTACGTTCTGGGCTCCTCTTTCAGCGGCTTGGAGGCGGTGCTCTGGACAGTGAGGCAGGCATCCCGCATCGGGCACCCTCCGTGTTGCTTGTGGACACACCGCCCAGTACAGATAAGTCTCCTCGGCTGGAGATTTCGACTCTTAAGTGATTTCTCCCCTTTCAAAGGTTGGCAACTAATTCCAGATTTTAAAGTGCACTGTTTTCCCCTGACCCAATGGCGACCGATAGGCAGGTGGTTAGAGCCCCATACGCCCAGGCTGAGGGCTTCTGTCCCAGTCAGGATAAGTACAAGAAGTAACCAATGAATGTATAAATAAGTGAAACAACAAAGCAATGTTTCTCTCTCTTCCTTATCCTCTCTCTAAAATCAATAAAAAATTTTAAAATAAAGTACATTGTTTTTCAATGTGGCTAGAACAGCAGCTATGACCTTCCGTTGGGCGCGCACTCTCGACTTGTTTGGCCTGCACCAAGTTCATGAAATAAAAATATGTATTTTGTGGCCACCAAGAGGGTCCAAGGGGGGGCTGACGGTGGATCCGAGAGTATGACTTAATTACATCGCATGAGTGCTAACTGGATATATAATGTCAGGCACGTAGTTTGTATTTCACGCCGGTGAGGTCGGTACTTCATTATTTGCGTATTTAAAAAAAAAAAAAAAGTCTGAGAGCTTGAGTCATTTTGCCAAAAGCGCCGAGCTTAAATAGCTGAACTAGACTTCCAGGCTCTGAAGCTAACTGCTCGCGTAAGACTCTGGGAATTGATTTATAGTCCATACAGTTTTGCAAGAGGCCTCCTTCCAAGACTTTTGACCAGGCGGCTCGCGCCTTGAAGCTCAGCAGAGCCAAGGGAAGGTTGGGACGGGGGACTTAAACTCACAAGAGACCCCACTCCCCAAAGCAGCTGCGCACTAACAGGCAGTCAACCCCCCTGGGGGCGAGGTAACCTGAGTGCCGCTCTAGCCCAGCCGCCCAAGTCTCGCTGGTGATGACATACTTCCGGGACGGTGGGTGAGTAAGATGGCGGCGCCCATGGAGGTGGCAGTGTGTACTGACTCGTCTGCCCAGTTGTGGAGTTGCGTCGTGTGGGAGCTGCACTCGGGTGCTAACCTGCTCACGTACCGCGGCGGCCAGGCTGGGCCCCATGGCCTGGCGCTGCTCAATGGCGAGTACTTGCTGGCGGCGCAGTTGGCCAAGAACTATATCAGCGCCTGGGAGCTGCAGCGGAAGGTGCGGCGGCGCACGCTCGAGACAAGGGGTGTGCGGGGAGCGCGCGAGAATGGGGTTAGCGGGGGCTGCACACGCCCTGACCCGGGGTGAAGAAATCTCAGGGTGCTCTTCCCGCCCTGGGGCGGCCTTAGGGGAGACGGGTCGCTGGGGCAGCCGATAAGCAGTTGAAGGCGGTGGGGAGGTAGCGGACAGCTAAAGGGAGTTGTGCAAAAAGGGGCGTGAGATTTAAAGGGAGAGTTTGCAGTTGGGGTTCCGTGGGTCTCGTAGGTTTGAAAGGTGAAGGTCTGAGGCCTAGTGAGTCCCCTGAAAAGGTAGCTCAGGAACCTTATGTTTGGAGTCTAGGGTGTCTCCTTGAGCACCCCCCAAATGCGGTACCTGCAGCTACTTGCAGCTCCTTTCTGCCAGCTGACAACTCCTGGGGCAAGCCCTGTGCTCTGGCTTTGCCTGGTGCGGACCACACAGAACTTAAGTTTTCCCATTTTAGAGATTTGGAAACTGAGGCTCAGGGTCGTAGGTAGGACCTTAAGGAAGCAGGGAACGAGCCCAATGGCCTTTTGGCTCTCTAGCCCCACGGCCCTCTTTGCCTCACCCACACCCATCCCCAGGCCCATAGGAGCACTATCCTGCTTTTATCCAAGGATTTGCAGGTCTGTACCTCCAGCCTGCAAAACCTGGGCTGGAGCAAACACTTCTTTGCTGAA